GCTTTAACATTTCACATTAACCACGCCGTCACACAGATCTGCAAAGTTTACGAAAGTATTACAGGTAGCTGTTGACAGAATAAACTATCATGTCTAGAGTAATAAAGGTGGTTACTGAAATGGTGATAACTAGGTTTGAAACCCTGAATGATACCACTTTGTCACAGTCTTAGGATTTACAATCACAAGCGATATCATTGATAATATTCTGGACTAGATGTTTATTAATATATAGTAAGTTGGGATGTTTTGATGATTACAGTAGTCAGGATAGTTCTTATGAGCAACCCTTCCCAACAGCTCTATTTCAGAAGCCGTCCCAAGGAAGCTACAGTTTTTTAAACTTTCAGGGTCGAGTTTCGTGACAGTTGATCGAAACCACGATTGTTTACTGTTGTTGATTCTGATCATTGTTCTGTGGACCACATGTATAACTAGATGAGTTCTACTAAGGATTGATTATCATTACTTTTTAAAGCCATTTAGATGAATTACTCGTTGTTCAATCAAATACCAGATTGCATAAGAGGAAGAGACAAACTGGATTTTTGTATGGCCGAGGCCATTCTAAGATAATTCCTCTTTCAATTGACGGTCTTGTCCCGATTTACGTACACGACAGTTGGATCGTACCAATCGTGACAGGACGACCTTGGTGTTTCTTAGTTGATGTGTAGCAATTCCAACAAATAAATAAAATACAATCGTGTTTCCTAAAGCTAAGAATGGCGGGGCCCCCCGAATGCCCTGGCACGGCCGAGAGTGGGGAGAGTCCGCACTCCCTCTCGAAATACTCTCGCACGGCCGCGCGTATACAGCCTCTGCCAGGGAAGTCCTACTCATTGCCTTCTCGTTGCGGGGGTGTTGTTCACGAAAATGAGAGGACGAAAACCGAATGTCCGGCGCTTTGACCGGATCACAAACCAATGGTGCACATGGGCTCCAGTATCCTGTGGGAACAAATGGTGTATGAACCAGTCGTTGGTCACCGGCTACCATGGGACTGCATCTCCTCACGATGCTCCACTGCTTTGAGGGTTAGACCTATAGGTGAAAGGCTCGGGGTGTGGCCCCCTAAGAAAACCACCTGCTTCGGTTTGGGCACCCGGGCAGTATCACAGTCCACACGCAAATGATGAACTCTCTATGTCTATGGAAATTACTTTTCTCGCTTCGAAAAACAATCAATTGATTCAAATTATTATCATTACAATTATTGTCATTATTAATACTATTATTAATATTACTATTATTGTAATTATTACTATTAATATTATTATTATTTACTACGACATTATTCACCCTCTTTTATACTTAAAGAGCGGCTCGTCTTTGGTGGAAATTCGACTGTATCTAAACGTTCCCGAGTCACTGTCCGGTTGAAAATTGTATGTTACCAGCGAATATGAGTACTGAAGCAGTTTTTCTGAAACCACGTGACCATTCAAACTGGCTGCCTTCAACGTTCGCACGCTTATGCAGGTCAGACAACAGTTAGGGCTGGCTATGTCTTTGGAAAGTCTCAATATCGATGTCTGCTGTCTATACAAAACCCGTATTCAAGACTCTGATGAAGTACTACAAATTCGCTCTACATCTGTCATTTCGAAAAGCTTGTTTTACGTGCGCTTATCCGGGGACCCTGTGGCATCTTCGTCTGGTCTTGCTGGCGTTGGTGTCGCACTAAGCGCTAGAGCTGAGGTAGCACTAATCGATTGGTTTCCCATTAACAGTCGGCTATGTGTTGTTAGATTAGAAAGTTCCATCAAAGTGAGAAGAAATCGGCGTGAGAAACGATGTATTTTCGTCATCCCCGTCTATGCCTTGACAGATTGCAGCCCGGATGCAATCAAGGATGAGTTTTACCACCAGATATCTGTTCTTCTCCAGAAAGTGCGTTCGACAGATATTGTAGTACTAGCCGGAGACTTGAATGCTCAGGTCGGGCGTCTAGGCACAGAAGAGAGTCGTTTAGGTGGCCGATGGGGACTCGTTGGTCGCAGGTCAGATAACGGAGACCGTCTACTGCAACTGTGCACAGACCACAACCTGTTTCTGGCTAGCACTTATTTTCGGCACAGTCATCGCCGATGTGCCACCTGGCGTCATCCCTCTGCATCTTAAGCCTGGACTCAGATTGATCACATCGCGATCAGCTACCGCTGGCGTGGTTGTGTACAAGACTGCCGCTCCTTTTGGAGTACCTATCTGGACTCTGATCATGCCTTGGACTGCTCCAATCTTACCGTACTTTTCAGTGGACAACGAAGTGACCGCCATCAACGGATTGATATTAGCAAGCTGGTTGCAACTTCTGTTGCAAGTAAGTATCGAACCGAGCTAGCCTCTAGGCTAGCTACCATTCCACCGAAAAGTATAGATGAGCATTGGTTGCAATTGCATGACGCCATGAAAATGGTGGGTACAGTCCGTTGTGGGTTCGCGAAACGTCCCGCTTATAAGCACTGGGTTTCTTGAGGTTCCTTACAACTCATTGAAGCCCGTCGGTCTACTCCGGGTGACCGTGAGTTTGACCACAAACGAAGGATGTTACATAAGGAAATTGGGCAAAGTTTGAGTAAGGACCGAGAAGCCTGGTGGTCGAAGCGTGCTAATGAGCTAAAAGCAGCAGCTGCATCTGGTAACTACCGGAAGCTCTTCCAACTCATCCAAGCCACTGGCAGCAAGAAGTCTGGTGTGAGTGAAACAATCTACGAGGATGATGGGATGCCAATCACTAACATCCATCGACGTCTTGGACGATGGGCAGAATTCTTCGAAGGGCAGTTCAACTGGCCTGCTGCTCCGGCAACATCGGTCAGACTGTCCTGCCCTCCATGGTCGGTGACGACTGATTCACCAAACGAGGAGGAAGTCCGCAAGGAACTCCAACTCTTGAAGCGCAACAAATCACCTGGCCCAGATGACTTACCTCCGGCTCTTTTTAAAGATGGTGGTGACTTTCTGACTAAGGAATTGACGACGTTGTTTACAAAGAATTGGGAACTAGAGAGTGTACTGACGTCATGGAATGAGTCGATAGTTGTCCCTATCTTTAAAAAGGGTTCACGTCGTTCCTGTAACCACTATCGGGGGATAAGTCTACTTCCGATTGCGTCCAAGCTATTGGCTTCCGTCGTACTTCGTAGGTTGTTCAAAACCCGAGAAAGATTGACTCGCGAGGAGCAGGCTGGGTTTCGTTCTGGTCGAGGATGTATTGATCATATCTTCACCCTCCGCCAAATGTTAGAACACCGCCATACTTATAACAGGCCAACAATCGTAGTGTTTCTTGACATCACGGCTGCCTTCGATTCGTTGGACAGGGCTGTTCTCTATGATTGTCTATTGAAGAAGGGTGTGCCTGAGAAGTTTATTAACATCCTAAAAGCCCTATATACAAACACCTCAGGCAGAGTGAGGGCATACAACCACCTTTCTCCATTGTCCCATTCGAGCAGTGAGGTTAGGCAGGGTTGCCCAATCTCACGATTCCTCTTCAACTTCGCCATCGACGACACTCTGGAAGCCGTTCTGATGGATGTAGGCAATTGCGGTGTGAATCTGTTGCCTGAAGAAAGACTTCTCGACCTTGAGTGTGCGGACGATATTGTCTTACTGTGTGATAGTGCCCAAGCCATACAATCCACACTTAATCAGTTGGCAATCAGTGTTCGTAGGTATGGTATGTGCTTTGCACCTTCGAAGTGCAAAGTACTTCTACAGGACTGGCAGGATTCTAATCCTGTACTCACCCTGGATGGTGAGCAGATAGATGTAGTCGAGAAGTTCGTGTATTTGGGTAGCTGCATAAGTGCTGGTGGTGGTGTGAGTGATGAGATCAATGCACGTATAGTGAAAGCCAGAGCTGCTTATGCCAATCTGGGCCACCTTTGGCGCCTGGCCGTAAAAGGTTGGATCTACAACGCGTCAGTGAGAGCAGTTTTGCTCTATGCTTGTGAAACCTGGCCTCCCCGAGTTGAGGACGTTAGACGACTCTGTGTTCGATCACCGCTGTCTCCGAAGGATTGCTGACATTCAGTGGCAACACGATGTCAGTAATGCAGAGGTTCGGCATCGTGTGTTCGGGCCGAGTGACGATAATCCAATTGGTGTCACCATCTTGGAACACCAACTTCGGTGGCTTGGACATGTTCTCCGAATGTCGTCTCAGAGAATTCCACATCGTGCATTATTTGCCGACTCTGGGACTGGTTGTAAAAAGCGGAAAGGTGGCCAGTGCATGACATGGTGACGTGGGATGAAAGAAAGCTGCAAAGGACTGGCTTGTGTTGGTCCTTCACGACTCCCTGGTTGGGGTCTGAGAGGTGGTGCTACACAGTGGCTAGGGACGTTATGAGATATGGCTCAGAATAGAAGCCAGTGGCGATCCTGTTGTAACCTTCTTTTACTTTCTTCATAAAAAGTGGTTGTGTCTTCCTTACCTGAAAGATTTCTTCTGATTGTACCTTTCCGTTCCCTCATTACTACCACACTACCTTACACCAATCTCTTCATTAGTGTTCTCTTTTTTTGCGCTCCTTGGCTTTTTTTCTATTCCTCTTCGAATTCTCACTGTTTTGTGTGGCGCATATATATTGGCGCTCTCTTGTACCAATATTCATGTGTTCAAATAAAATAATAAAAATAAGATTGGCGGGGTAATATCACTAGCTATCACAAAAGGATTAGTTTTATTGACTAATAAATATTCCATCGTTCCGTCGAAGTTATCGCAAACAAACTACAAAGTTTATTGGCATTCCAACAAGCCAGTTCGATTGAAAGATGTTGATGAACTTATGGACACTCATATCTAGTATATGGTATTATATTACTTTAAGTTACCAAGTACTTAAAACTCCTGATATTGGTCGAAACCTACTCACTTATCGAAGAATCTTAAATACAAAAAGTCTGACACATTTAATTTTAAGTCATGCAACAAAACGACTACGGGGGCCATGTAAATATTTGTAAAGATAATAAATGATTCAAACCTTCTAATGCGGTCGATGGGGTGACCTAGAACGTATCCGACGAGATGTGTGTCTGCAAGTACCATTAGATTGACAATCGCAGTGTCGGGATTTCGTATGTTTTTCACACTAGCATTGGGTGGGTCGGGCCAATTACAACTGTATAGTGTGAAGTAATAAACAAGATATTCACACACCCATATTAAAGCAGCAAAATACAAAACCAAGTGCCACCTTCCTTGAAATACAATAAGATTATGAATTTCTGTAAGAAATCGGATGCCGAACAGTCTTCTGGTATTCTAAAACAAAGAACAGAATTTGTTTACAATTTAGAAGACAAAACAAGAATGAAAAGTCTTTATTATTGTATCAAAGTTTATTTTGACATATATTTGTAGTAGAGTTCTCCAACATCATAGATCCCAATAAACTTCCAACCATCTTCTTTCATGTGATACACTGTAAAAAAAATTTATAAGTTACAGAAAAAACATACGGTTAACAAATCCACCAGACGCTGCATCGCGGTGTGTTGCATGAAATATTGACCGCCTAGCAAGTTCATACGCATCTTCATCATTCATTTCGTATTTATAACCAGTATCTAAAACACCATAGGCATAGGGACTTCCCGATCCCACAGAAAACAGGTTTCCAGGGGTTCTGTTGCCATCAGTATCAACATAATATATACCAGGTCCATTTTTGTCCCAACCCACAATAGTTGTACCAATACTGAGACCCATTCCTTTGTAATTGTAGACCATATTGGCCAACAACTTTGACGCGGCGGCGACGGATATCCTTTCCTTATTTCGCAGCTCAAACAACCTAAAAAATATAAGTATGAAGTTTTAGGCATCACCTGCAATGCTTAGCCAAAACGCGCTCCCAGAATTGGCAGTCCGCGGCACCTCCAGCCATGGTTCCAAGGAGATACTTGTTGATCTCGATTATTTTCTTAGTAGTACCAGAGGCTAGACAATGAATTGGAAGTATCAGAAAACTCACCAATATATGATCCAGCTGTTGCACGCGAGTCTGTTGCAACGATGACGCCACCAGAATATTTGAGTGCAAGAGTAGTGGTACCGTGTAAAAAATTAATCTTCGTTTCTTTGCACTGTATCCCATATTCTATCGGTTGTAGGTAGTTCTAGGACCCTTATAGTAAGCCAAATTCAGTACCTCAGTTTTTCGACTCCGGTAAAGATCAACCTCCGAAAGATGAGTACACACATTTCTTGATTCAGGATCTTTTCCTAGACTATTCACAGTTTCAAAACCAGTTATATCCAACAGGGCCATGACAAAGAAAGTGGGACGCACAACTTTGTATAAGCGCCAGATTTCAAGCATCAAACTTTACAAAGCGAACCAGGTGAAATTTTTGTTACTTGGAGTTTATGTTTGACTACTAAAGGACCATTCCAAGTTGCGATAAGTATAATTCCTGCGATTCTACCTCTGGAAACTGAGGGACGAAAACAAACTAGTTAACAACAGGAAATGTTGAGCACGAACGCTTACAGCAGTCTTTAGCGGTAAACCCCCTAAATATGTAGTCCAGCAAGTCTACGACATTGATGCTAACCCAACTAGTTTTGCTGGACAAACTTTGGCTGAAGGCTGTTTATCACAAATCCTCACTGAATCCTGAGTAAGTACACCGTGCTACGGGTCTCCTGAAAATAATAGCCATCATAGACTGAACGCTTCTCAACATATCAGTAGTCTACTAAATATTTCTCCGGACCCCTTCATTTATGACTTCTGACTTGATTGTGCTGGTATCCTTCGATTATGAAGGTGTTACGTGTAAAAGTACTGTCAAGCTCGGAATACGACGCGCGTTATTAAAAAAGGACAGTGGTATTGTTTGTCGTTGAGTTAAATTTACCGTTTTGATCATAAATTACCCATCAAGACTACTGTTTGATTTTTAATTGAACTTGTTTCAGTTAAAGTGATCTTTTAATTGTGTGTTTCAGTCTTGCTTTTGTGTATTCATTGCATCAAAGCATATTTGCTCGGCTTTGACTTCATTTAGTTAGTGTTTGAGTTTTTTACATATCCACTTTGTGTCAACATTTTTAGTCAATTTTTAGGATGACCGGCTCTGCTCACAAACGTGGACAGCCGTACTGTCTATTCCCTGTGGAAGAAGGAACACAATGTGACGAGTGTAAGAATTGGTTCTATAAGGCGTTTACCCGCTTAAGACCCATTGCCTATAAAAGGTGCTCAAAACCTAACTCTTATTGGCTCTATATGTTCTGTTGTTCGAGAAAAACAATGCTCACTCGAGAGACAACTAGCCACCTGGCAGTGGCTAGTAAAAAATTGGCGAAGGCTGAACTGGTAACATGGGTACTGATATTGAAGTTTCAGTCAGCGTCGTAAGTGCTGTCACAGCACTTGCCAGACACCCAACTGTGCAACATGCAGTAGAGCTTTCTATCTCAAATCAATTAATGAGCAATGCGCCATTAGATATTAGTGTCCAAGTTACTACAGCAGCTACCGATGATGCAGATAAAAGCATTACCGTCCCTAGTTGTTCTAATGTGGATGCCGTGACTGATGGGAAATGGATGATGCGGAAACGTAGAAGAGTAGGAAAGGTAGCCAAAACTAGCGCTGTTTAGTTGAAAAGTCCTTGGTGGACTCACATTCTTCGTGTCAGATTACTCCGCCGAAGTCCTAAAGTAATTCCTCACCGAACATTGCTGTGAGTCATGCGCTCGACTCCCACGTTAACAGTTAACAGGCAGGATCTGACATCACGGTCGATAGCCGTGAACACGGCTTTCGAAGAGGCTAAACCATTCCCTAGTTTAATTATTTGGACTGCTAAAAGATACGCACGCGATCTGCAGTTAGAGGAATTTGTAATCACAAATGTGTTGGCTGAAGAGGTTTCAGCGGTACACATCACGAAAGTATTAATACTCGGTAGATGAGTTGGAGGCGAAATCTAATCAAGAAGGTTCTTGAAGTCGGTACTCGGGGATTTCGAAGAAAGAGACATAATACTGAATAACGCACACAAGACTCGTGATTCAAATATTTGTATCCGACCGGATGGAGCGCTTAAGGATCGAATCAAGTGGAAGAATGTTCTTACAGAGTTAAGAACCTGAAGCTATGGAAACGTTGGAAACACTTCTGGGACTTATTGTTGTCGACAGGACACGCACCATTTAATTGTGAATATCAAAAAATCCGGAATATATGTAAAAAGACCACAGTTAAATCCCGTATTACTTACGATCGAGAGTGGACATATGATAGCCGTGCTTGTCTAAAACGATTGTTTTCGTATGTTAAACGGAAAACAATACGTAGTGATGGTATTCTTCTGTTACTGTTATACGAAAATCCAGATTTATATACAGAATCAGAGACTTTCTCAAACTATTTAGCGAAATCTACTCCACATGCATTTTCGCAAATAATTGTCCCAGTCACACCGAGATATCAGCCATAAGATCTGTACATGTGAATGAGGAAACTGTTTTTCCATTGATAACTAATTTCAGTACTTGTAAGACACCGGGCCCTGACGGGTTATTTTCACGACTGCCGTCATCTCTTGCGGACATTACTTCAAGACCGCTCGCGACGCTCCTCAACATGTCCCTTTCACTCTCTCAACTACCTGGAGATTGGAAAGACGCTATAGTCGATCCTGTATTTAAGGATGGTCAGAGACAGATCGTATCTAACTACCGGCCTGTCAGCCAAAACAGCATAGTCGTTAAGTTGCTTGAAAAGATAATTCTGATTAAGCTACTACTTCACAGATTCGCACAATCTGTTAACTCCCGAGCAACACGGTTTTCGTAAAGAGCGTTCACGCTTGAATAACTTACTTATAGCGAGATAAGATTGAAAAGCAGCCATAGATAACGGTCTGTCTGTTGATGTGATATTCATAGATTTTAGCAAAGCGTTTGACAAGGTTTCACACTTATGTCTTATGCAGAAACTCTTGAGCTTCGAAATGACAGGTGCTGTACAAAATGGGAAGGAAACTTCCTGTGTAACCGCAGACAGAGGGTGAGCGTCAATGGAACGCTATCCGAACGGAAGCCGGTCAAAATAGATGTACTCTAAGGCACCATCTTAGGCCCTCTACTTCTTCCTCACTATGCCAATGAATTAACGCGGTTGCTTAGGTCGTCGACATCATAGTTTGTAGATGATGTAAAAATCTGAAGAAAAACAAGAAAAGGGTTGATAATTTTGATCTCCAAGCTGTCTTAGACGAATTAGTTAGATGTGCTTGAGGTTGGGGCTTAGAAGTTAATTCTAGGAAGAGTGTGCCCATGCATATCGGACACGGTAAAAGTTGCCATCATACATTGATGGTAAATCTCTTCCACACGTTCAAGAACTTAAGAGTAATAATATGTCATAACTTGAAACATTTACTCATTGCAACGCAGCTGTGTTATGGTCACTTGGTCGAGCATTCAAATGCTTTGAGGAGGAAATGTTTCGAATTTTATATCCCACCTATGTAATACCACACTTAGAGTACTGTATCGAAACAGCTAACCAATATCTGATAAAGGATAATAACTCACTTGAGCGTGTTCATCTTGTGGGAATAAAATTAGTAAAGCGTCTTTCTAAACCCCCTTATGATGAACGTTTAAAACGCCTAAACCTTTTCCCTTTGTCGTATCTTGGGACGCGAAGTGAACTTATACTGACGCTTCGTATCTTTAATCATAATTTGCTCCCTTCAGCATTAATGATCTCCGATGTTCACAAATCGCGAATTAATAAACTTAAAGTGAGGTCCCATCTTTCTCATCGAGTGATCAATGACTGAAACGCCTCACTCGAACTAGTAGTATTAGCCCAATCAGTGAATATTTTCAAGGAGAAGCTGGATCTTCACTGGAAGGTAATCTGTCAGGATTACCACAAGTTCGCCAACCTACTATCCTTATCATTGAAGACTGAAGATCCATAGCATCTATAAATCCCTCTGAGTGTCTAAAGAATTAAAGTGAATGAAAAATTTCTTTTCACAAAATTCAGAGAAAGGTGTCATTACTATTTCATCTAATAGGAAGCTTCACAATTCAATTTTTCTACCAACAGAAAAGTTTGCACGAACTTATCTTTTTCATGTTACGTTCTACATGGATGTCTTCTTTGGTAAGGTTCAGTACCGAAATATAATAATCTTATGTTCTTATGTTGCGATTTTCACAAGTTCAGAGCTTTCAGGAGAGCTGAGTGGATCTATTGGGGGGGCATCTATTGGTACCACAAGAACTTGTAACAGCTCAGGTTGGTTTCTCGCAACCAGATGCACGTTTTGCCCATGTGCATATCGACTTGGTAGGTCCTTTACCACGTTCAAACGATTTTAATTATCTTTTTACACGCATAGATCGATTTACCAGATTCCCTATAGCCATCCCGATAGCGGACATCACAGCGGAAACAGTAGCCAAAGTTTTCATGCAGAACTGGGTAACCATTTTTGGTACACTCATAATAATAACGACGGATAGAGGAGCGCAATTCGGATCCGAACTATTTAATAACTTGGCTAAACTTCTAGGCTCCAATAGGATAGGCTGCACTGCATATCATCCTCGGGCTAATGGGATGGTAGAACGTTTTCACCGTCAGCTAAAAACCGCCCTTATATCTCACTCAAACCCCAATCAGTGGACAGAATTCCTACCGTTAGTTATGTTGGGAATACGAACATCTGTCAAAACTGACGCACAGTGTTCAGCTGCGGAACTGGTTTTCGGAACAACTCTGAGACTACCAGGTGAATTTATTAACCCTAAGACTAACAGTCAAAAACTTAATTTAGAAAATTATGTAGATCAGCTACGGGAACACATGTCTAAACTTAAGCCGATTAATACTCGTGAACAATCGCGCGCCGTATATATACCTAAAGACCTAAGCAATTGCACGCACGTCTGGATAAGATGTGACAAAATAAAAGCACCACTCAGTCCTCCATTTGAAGGTCCTTTCAAATTCGTCTCAAGAAAATATGAATATTTCGTGATAGAAAAACATGGAAACATCGACACAGTAAGTATTGATAGGCTAAAGCCGGCTTATCTAGATCTTGAACCACCATACGTGCTGTTAGATCGTTTAACAGACAAATCCATTACGGAATCGAAATGTAAAGATAATAAATCTTTACAAATGACTAAAACGGTTCGCTGGGCACATCCAATTAATCAGTCAAGGATGTTGACAGTTTCGGCTGCAGGATAAAATCTAACCACGTAGCTAATTAGACACTGCATCTACTTAAAAATAATTTTTTTCCTCATTCCGCCTCACCTACAACTCCCCAGACCTTTTACCTTTGATATATAAGTGTTATGTTAAATATTTTTTTAAATACTGGACACACAAGCTAAGTATTCCGAAACGAT